ATCTTAATCCCTCCCCTTACTTAAAATCGAACCAAACAAGGGAAAACTAAAAATTTCCCTCCCCTCCCTTCCCCTCCCCTCCGTTTCCTCCGAACCAAACAAAGCCTAAAACAATTGTTACTCATCTACTTTCCTTAAACATCCTTTCACTTCATTTATTACCCAAACGAAAAAAAAAAATGCTAAAAAACAAATATGTTTCGTGCAACACACGAATATATCTATTTATTTGTGTTGTGCATTGAGCGGCTCGCTCATATGATTGATATGTCCGTGGCAAATGGGTTGTGGAAACCTTTTGTGGTGGGGTGTAACAGGGTGACGGTGTCGTATCTCATGTTTGCTGATGACATTTTGTTGTTTTTAGAGGCGGATCATGCCCAGGCGACTAGTCTAGAGACTATTCTGCACTCGTTTTGCCAGGCCTCGGGCTTGAAAGTGAGTGAGTTGAAGACCCAGGTGTTCTTCTCTCCGAATGTTTTGATGGCGGACCGTGTGGATCTGGCTCATCGGTTGGGGTATCAAATGGTTGAGAACTTAGGCAAATATCTGGGAATGCCTCTGATACATAGCCAGGTTACCAAAACTACGTACGTGGAGCTGATCGAAAAGGCGAATAGGCGGCTAGCGGGTTGGAAAGCTTCGTCGCTTTCCTTGGCGGGCAGAGTGACGCTTGCTCAGTCGGTTCTAGCTTCTCTGTCGTACTTCTCCATGCAAAGTGCTTCCCTTCCTTTTGGGGTTTGTGATGGTTTAGAACGTAAATGTCGTAACTTCATATGGGGTGGGACGACATCGTCAAGAAAAGTGAGCTTCGTGTCGTGGTCTGAGGTTTGTCGGCCGAAAGCTGATGGGGGTTTGGGGATGCACGAGCAGCGTCTGATGAACCCCAAGCACTGCTCATGAAGACGGCTTGGAAATTCTTGTCTAAGCCGGATTTGTTGTGGTGTCGGGTGCTTAGGGAGAAATACAAACTCGAGCTGGGTGAGATGGGGGAGGATTTCGAGTTCCCCGGGGGGTGAACGGTGTTACGCGCTATTTGGGATGTGTGGCGGGAGACCGTGAAAGGTTGTCGGTGGACTTTGGGCGATGGTCGACGGACCCAGTTCTGGTGG